CTAAATGCCCAACAAATATTTCCTAAATAAAATTGATGATTTACTAGATTTTGCTTAAGACCATCCAGGAAGGTAGGTTCTGTTTGTTGTCACTCCCTAGCTATAGCTATTTTTACATAATTTTTTGCCCTTAAAATTCACGGTTACATATTGTTTTATGGATTTTAAAGAACATGTGGGATAAAAGAAAACTTAAAAATTCAACAAGCGAGTCATAATAGTCACACCATCCTACTCAAGGGAAATGTGTAAAATTAATCATGGTAGTCAAAGTGCAAACATGTGTTCTGTTAGGAGTAACCTACATCATTTCCTTGGCCACTCTTATTTCTTAGTTTCAGAGTCAAAAAGTACACAGTGCTTCTTTAGTAGTCCTGCCAGTTTTCCAGTGTTAATTTGATTACTACTATTTTTCTGTGTTTTCGAAAAGATACAATATTCAGGAAAAAGACCTTAAGGTTTTGTACATCTGTATGTGTCCTTTCCTTCTTGAGTGTATAGACATGTCTCTTGGTCCCTTTGTATTATTTTTTTTTTCTGTGAATTCCTGCCATTTTGAAGTTCATCATATTCTATCAGAACTCTCATTTCTTTAGCCTATTAGAGTACATTAGATTTTATTTCTGTGAAGCATATTCTTAGAAACTTCAGTGTCCCCTTGTTTAAAGACCAAGTCTGCTTAGAGATCTTGCTCTTGAATAATGTGTTGCTTAGGCTAGGAGACTATGATATAATCTCTCTCTCTCTCTCTCTTTTTTTTTTTGGTCTATTCTCAATTCTGGCAAATTGAAGGGGATTTGTACTACAGAATGCCAAATACCTTTACCAGGTTTAGCTGGATGGCTTACTCTAATTTGCTCATTTATTTATACGTTATCCTATTGGACATTTCATCTCTGTATGTCATATCAAATCTGTGTGTGTGTGTGTAAATGTGCAGCATACAGTTTGAGAATCAAATTTAAACATAGTTACATTAATGGGGCACCTGGGTGGCTCAGTCGGTTAAACATCTGACTCTTGATTTTGGCTCAGGTCATGATCTCAGGGTTGTGAGATGGAGCCAGCTCAGGCTCCCTGCTGGGCGTGGAACCTGCTTAAGATTCTCTCTCTCCTTCTGCCCCTCCCCATTCCCTCTTTTAAAAAAATAAAATTAAATTAAAAAATAAATAAAAGTAGTTACACTATTTCATAAACTAGAAAAAAATTAAGCTTTTACCTTCTGTAAGGTGATATACAGGCTTTACTATTTTCAACTATCAACTTTATCTCTGTATTGCATTTTTCCCTAATCAATCTGTGTGTAAATTTTGTTTATTAACTACCTTGTGAGCTTCAGCAGGTCAGACATTCATTTACAAATTTATTGAATATTAATAGACAATGAGGAGACAGAGATGAACAAAACAGGGCTTTTTCCCTGAAAGAGCTCATATTCTAGTTGGAGAGATACACATGTAAACAAATAGCTGTGATCTAACAAGATACATTTGCAGATCAAGTGTTAGGGGATCAAGGAGTATAGAATAGCTAATTACCTAGGGTGGGGCTTGGGAATGAGGATGCAAGTCAAAAAGGCTCTAAAGGGTAAAATGGGACACAGGGTGCCTGGGTGGCTCAGATGCTTAAGCGTCTGCCTTCGGCTCAGGTCATGATCCCAGGGTCCTGGGATCGAGTCCCGCATCGGGCTCCCTGCTCAGCAGGGAGCCTGCTTCTCCCTCTGCTTCTCTCTCTCTCTCTCTCTGTCTCTCATGAATAAATAAATAAAATCTTTAAAAAACAAAATAAAATAAAATGGGACACAATCTGAAAGGACCAATGAGAACTTGCTGTCAAGCATGAAGAACATCTCGGGAACAGGAAAACAGCTAACACAGAACAAGGAGTTATATAAAAACAAAATGTGGCACTTATACCAAAAAGTTTTTTGTCTGGCTAAATTTAAGGATTTTTTTAAATTAGGGGAGTGAAGCAATCAGACTTATGTATTAGAAAGAGACATCTGGTTGAGAGAATGCCAGACAAGGCAGGTCCTGATGAGCAGATTATTGCATTATATTAGATAAGTGATGATTTAAAGGGTTGTAATGCAGACAAAAAGAAGTGGGAAGTTTCAAGAAGTAAGTAATAATTAGAATTGATGGACTGAAAAACAAATTGGAGGAACAAGAGTTAAGACAACTGTAAGAATTTTGATTTAAGTTTGCTGAGAAACCAGTGCTTCCATTATATGAGATCTGCAGCATATGAAGAAAAGCAGTTTTGGGAATGGATTTAGTGTTGGAATGTTGAATTTTAAGGTGTTTTTGGGAAATCCATATGGAGCTGTCCTATAAGTCCGGTGGTCAGGAATGACCTCTGGGATGCATCAGAGTAAAAGTGGTGATTGATGACGTTGGCCTAGAAGAGGTCGTGTGAACACTGGGATTACAGAAGAGTGAAGATAGAATCCCAGGGAACCACAGTTATTTAGTGGGGTGGTAGAGAAGGAGGGATTTGTCAAGAAAAGTGAGGAGTTGCCAGAAAAAAGGAACAAAGGATTGAATACATACATACATACACCTGGGGGTGAGGGATAGGGTAGGAAAGTAAAGGAAGCATCTCAAAAGATTCCATGGTGAACAGGATTAAATGCCATAAGATAGGCTTGTAAAACATACATAAACTATCCATTATATTTGACCACTGGAATTGATATACTCACTCAGGTCTAATTCAGAGAACTAGAATGGGACTGGGTACAAAGAAGTTGAGTGGTTTTGCTTGTACATGGCTGCTTTGAGAGAAACTAGTGATACTGCTGGCAGTCATCCTGGAGTGGAATGGAATACAGAACTCTAAAACATCACAAGCTAATCTTGCCCATCTCTGGATGTCCAGGCTCCAGGTTAGTGCCTACATATGTGCAACCATCCCTATAAAGAAATGAGCACTGTAGGACCTGGGGATGTAGCAAACGTTATGGGGAGAATGTGGTGGAAGAGAAAAGGCACATCCATATATGATGGAAGATGTGAACCTGGAGAATCTATGGGATACAGAGATTCCATCCTTAATTATGCAGCTACACCCTGGCAAACTATCAATTAGAATCACAGAACCATTAAATTTTATTTTAAGAGAAGCTTGAGTCCTCTGGAATATCATCATTTTTTAATTTCCACATTGACTGGGGTTTTAGTGACAATACTAGGAGTCCAGAAACTGCTAAAGATGTTGTTGGTAATAAGAAAAATTTAATTGGAAGTCAAACTGCAAAAGGATAAGAAATGAGGAGAAACATGAAAACAAGAGCAAAGATTACTATTTTGAGAAATACAAGTAGTGAAGTTAAGAGTGGAACTGAGAACTTGAATACATCTGTAGAAAAGGGTAAAGTCAGTAAAGAAAAAAGGATAATTAACAGACCTCCTGAAAGAAAATGGTTTAAAAATGTCAAAGATGACTTGGGAGACCTGGGTGGCTCAGTCGGTTAGGCGTCTGCCTTCAATTCAGGTCATGATCCCAGGGATGGAACCTTGTGTCAGGTACCTGTTTCTACCTCTCCCTCTGCCCGTCTCCCCTGCTCATGCACTATCTCTCTCTCTCTCAAATAAATAAATAAAATCTTTTAAAAAAATAAAAATAAAAAATGTCAGATAAAAACCTACATCTTAGGCAGTAGTGGGAAACTTCTTCTATCCTTCGGGATATGATGCAAAAAGCTGCACAGTATTCATGTCTAAAATGCAGTTGCAGACAATGAATAAGCGTTGTTAGAAACTTTTTACAGTCATTGTGAAGACAACTAGAGTGAAATCAGATGGTTTGATGGGTTTTCATTGGGCAGAGATGGCAGAAAGACAAGAAAGTGAGAAATCAGGAGCACTGAGGAGGTTAACAGTGGATTTCAGACTGGGAGGAGAGTTGCTACAGAAACATCCATCTTGATATAAACAGAAAGTAGATGTGGTGCAAACTAGAAAGTTAAACCAGTTATAGTCAGAAAGTTTTGTTGATTTTGACTTTATGGTGAGAGATAGCCAGGATCCCAAATCCCCACATTCTGGCCTAGATAGAGGCAACAAATATACAAAAAGAAAAAACACCAGAGACAATACAAACTTGTTTTGCACTGGCTAGCATTTTGTTCCAAATCCCTGTGTAGTGTTTCATCCTTGTGACCAAAAAACATGAACTTAAAGATCTACATCCTCTTTTACCCTGTCTGCTTTAAGACCTTGCCTGAACTCAGGGTGTTATTCGATGCTTACTTTCTCCTGGGTCCCACCTTGGATTCTGCTTGGTCTTTCCTGCCTTTATCTGATAAAAATAATATAATGAAAAGAGAGCAACACCAAAATAAAAGAAGTTAAACTCTCTGCTTTTTTCTATCCCAAGATGTTATTCCTTAATATAGTAAAACCATGGGTGTTTGTGAACACTCCATTTTGTTATTGACTCATTTTAAAGCTTTTTAGTGGCATAAACAGAGCTGGTGCATCTGGAAACTTTGCATTTTTTCTAAATCAGTGGTTCTCAGGTTGTGAGTGTGAAGGTGGGAGCAGGAAGAGATGCCAAAGTTGCACAGGGAGTGTTTTCAAGGGGCAAGTGTGTTTGTGTATGTGTGTGTGAGAGCAAGAGAGAGAATGTATATGGGTGGAGGAAGGAGTGTTGTAAAATTTTCAGGGGATTCTGATAAACATTGGTCTTTCTTCTGATTGAAAATCACTGCCCTGCAGATGAGCAAGTAAGAACCATAAGAGCGTAGTGTTTGTGGGGCTTACAATTAATTTAAGAGTTGACTCTGGTAGACGATGAAGTCCAGGAAGTGGGCTACCAGAGTGGAATGGAGGTGAAAATTACTGGAGTAAAGGCCCCGAAAAAGTGAGGCCAGAATGCTGGTATGTCCACCACAGGATGGCTGAGGCTTTGAATTTCTCCTTTCTCACTCGAAGCACTTTCTCAAGCACCAAATACATAGTGTATGTTCAATAAATACTCTTAATAGACTGTGCACATTTCAGAAAAAATGTATTACTTTTAATACCAATTATGTGAGCATGCAACATTACTAAATACAAAAGTCATACAAGCTCACAAATGACTTCAGAGACTGCCACTCTTTAATTAAAGAACAATTTGGGGCCTATTAAGACATCATAAGTCATAGATGCTTTCCTCTGTTTACTTGATAACTATACATTGTCTTCCTATTGCTACAAGCTTTACTCAGAAGCTAGGCTACCTGGCAGTTACATTTCTTTACCCATTATTGCTTCTCTGAAGAGAAAGAGCAACATCATTCATCTTATAAAATGGTGCATCTTCACTGTGTCTGAGTAAAACTCAGGTGTAGGGCATTTACAATGGGCAGTTCTTGGGATGTTGCCTAAAAATTGAAGACTGCCTGTTATATATTGGAAAAACATTTCTATGAATTATGAGAACAATATATTGGCATAGGATGTTTACAGTTGATAAAAGGTAAATTTGACAAGTTCATACTTATTGCAAATGAGTAAAACTGAAATTTTCATATTTCTAGTTAATTAAACAAAACGAGTAGCATGGAACATAAAAAAAAATCTCAACCATGCCAAATTTATAGACTTCATGACAGAAAAATATTTGGGGGAACGTATAACACAAAAAAATAAATTCTAATTGAATTTCTTTTTTTTTTTCAAAGTGTACTTTCTATGATCTAGTCACATCTGTGTCATTACTTATCTAGGTAACCTTGAGAAAGACAATTCCCTGTTCTGAGACTCAGTTTCCCTCTATAAAATATGGAGGTTGAACCAGTTCATGTCTAAATGTTCCCTTACAGATAAAGATGCTCTATAATTGGCTTTAATTTTATGGCCATGTGCAATAGAAAGCTCCTTGGAAAAAGACAAAGATAGGTTCAAATCTTAATTTCAACATTTATTAGCTTTTTAAACTTGGAAAAGTTATACCTTATTGAGCCTTAATTTCTGAATCTGTGAAATGGGATAACACTACCTCTTTAATCAAATTCTCTGAGGAGAAACTATTAAATGGGAGAAAATGTGCTGGGAAGTGATTAGCATAATGTTATTGGTTAGTGGGCATTCAATGCATAGCCTCAAACCTAACGCCTTAGTTTTCTACCTTTTCCTTTTGTCCTTAAAAATTCAATTCCATGTATATTATTGACTTGCAAGTAAAAGATATGACAATACAATTTGGAAGACACTGTGAACTTTTGCTGAGCAACATTGTAGGATGTGGACATTTTGGAAAGTAGATTTTTATCTTCTAGCTTGGGAATGCCTCTGGGTTTGAATATAGCAGACAAAGTAGCAGTAAGAGGTCAAAATAATTCAAAAGCTCCATATGACTTTGCAATTTAGCACTATTATATATTCAAAGACAAGCATGACACCACATGCATTAATAATAGTATATCACATAGGAATAAAAACTCTCCACATACACTCAGCACTAGTCCTAAACTTTACAAAATCACATGTAATCAGTTTGGAATTCCACAACTTTAAGGATGGAGAGAACTTTACCTAGATTCACAAGAAAGCTATGAGGGTAGCAAATGAGGATACTGAAAAAGTGATTTTATGGGTTGGATATTTTAAATGGACTACCAGAGATTGTCTAAAAAAGCCTCAGGAACCTCTCTTCCCACTTGTGAGTCTATTAATAGGTGGGTTTCTTTGAATTTTAATAGGGCATTTGGGACCCTAACTGGTTAGAATGAAGTACCCTAATATTTACTATTTTCTGAGAGACTTACACTATTAACATTTTTTCTAGTAACGTATGATTGAGGACTGAATGATACCCTTGCCCTTATCCTACTCATTTGGAAAGTATTGTAATGGGGGATGAGGGAAGATTGACCTTTCTTAGGGCTGAGTTCCCCATATATCCATGGAGATTATCTGTGGAAATGCTGCTTAACCTACCTCAAATGGGACTGTATCTAAGACCTCGAGGATAATTTAAGTGGGCCCTTTATTGTAAAGGGTCTTCCTGTTATCTGCTATTTGTCCAGTAACCCATGAGCCATTGGCATATTACCGGTTCCTTATTTATTACTACTGATAAATGATTTTATAATACTGACCAGTGGGATTACACAGCTCACAGAAACTTTCCATATAAGAATCATGAGATGTCAAAACACAGCAGAGGCTATCAACAGTATTAATGAGGATTTTGTTAGCTTCTAATGATAATTATTATTGTATCAGAATGCAATTCACACTAATTATTAGTAAAAGTTTACAAACATTAAAAAGTGCATAATAACATTTGTATCTGATAGGGCTGAAAAAAGACATGAAAAAACACAATGCAAGGGCTTTACTTTTGTGATTGGTGTCCACATGACTGCAAGATAATTTTTTCCATCTGTTATAGCTCCATCCAGATAAGCTGTCCTCCAAATTTAAATAGTAGCATACGGCACTGAGTAATTTGATTCCATAAGAACAAAATGTTTCCCGTTCTTAATACTATCTTATCTTTCCCACCATCCTGATTCTCCAAAATCCTCATAGTTAAAAAATTTTAAAAAATATATTAATTGGGGAAAGTTCTCCAATTGAAAATAAAACAAAATTTGCATAATGAATTCTGGTCTGTGCAGACACCAAACAGACTGAATTTCAAGTAAAATTCACATTAGCGGATATTTTCAAATGCCTCTATAATAAAGCAAAAAAGTCTTGATGAATTAGTTAGACTTAATTCATCAACAGTGAATCAAGGGGAAAGGTTAAGTTAAAAAAAAGTGTGATCTATCCTGTGTACACCACCACACTGTGGAGAAGGAAAAAGGCAGCCCTTTTAAAAATGAGTGGTATAAAAATTCACAGTCACATACATTATTTTTGTTTCTCATAAGCGATCAAAGAAGGGGGCAGTGCTGAGCGTCTATTTTGTACAATACAAAACAGTGTAAATAACACAGCAGGAACACACAGATACATAATGCTAAAAACAGTGCTTTCTGGATGGTTCTTTTACTGGGTGAATACTTAGACCAGAGATATTTAAACTCTGGGGTTCAACCAACCCTTTGCAATTAGACACAATTAAATCCTCTGACATTGTGAGGGGCCAGATGCTACAGGAAGAATCATCTAGGTCAGTGCTACTGTCTACAAGCATTTTATCATATGGTCAAGTGAAAGGATCCATATAAAAATGACATCCAAACACAAGTCACATGATTTCAACCATTGCTAATGACAGAGGTAGAGAAAAGTCTGTCTGCAGCCACAGCCTCTGCCCCCATTTTTAACATGATAATGAGCAGATTCCTACAATGCAGCACAGCTATTTTTCCCACCCCGTTTTCACTCTTGGAAACAAATGCATTCCAGCCAGGCCTGGAGATTTGAGACATTGTCAGATGTTGCTGAAGTTATCAAAGTGGGGTGTTAGCTTTCAGATTTTGCTGCTTCCCCCTGGGCTTCCCCACTTTGTTCTGTGGAAGTTCGTTGTGCATCTTCTTCACCTTCTGTAAGAGACAATAAAAAAAGGATAAAGGCAAAATAAAAAACTATTGCCTATATTTACTGACTCTTAACATATCATATTGGAAATTTCAGAAATACTCAAAAAGTCTGAAATTCTCATAGAGACAAGTGTATTTTTTTGGTAATCAATTCCTCAATTAGTGTTTCAAGGGCTGGCTAATTCTGGTTCTATGAACTTGGGACAGCATGGCTCAAAAACAAAATAATAACAATTTTACAATGGTTAGTGATAATTTATGCTAGGAAATCTCAAGGCCAGGTCATGGCACTTATAGTTTCACAGGTTGCAGAAATCAGAAGTGATTTTAGGCAGAAATAAAAAATGGGAAGCAAGTTTACCGTTTCACTCCTGTCTTATTTTAAGAAATATTTAAAAATTGCATTTTATATTATTTATAGTACTTGTTGATAATCCACCTGATTTTTTAGAGGTTTAGTTAATTTAAATTAAAAGCAACAGTGGAAGATGAAAGGACATTATGTTAGCTCATCGGTCCCTTGCCAGATAGTTATGATGGCCTCTGGTCTGCCCTTAAAGAACATATGCACAATTCTAATAAAACCACTCTCATAATTGCGTACTCAGCAGCAATCTCAGCTTGTGACATAGCAAACACTGAAATTAAACAACGCTTTCTTCCCATATTAGGTCACTTTATCTACAGTTCAATACTTGCAAGCTGTAGGCCAATCCTTGATTCAAAGATTCATATATCTGCATGTATTAGTTCATTATTAAGCAACCGATATAGCTTAGTGGACAAAATATTTTTGGGTGTTCAATAACGTAAACTATATCAATGTTTGCTGAGTGTTTGTTACCAAAATTCAAATGGATAGAGGTGAGTGGGCCGTTCCATTCTTTAAATGAAAATGTTGAAAGGCAATTTCTCCTTTACTCTTAACAAGTATACACAAAACATTTCACCAGATGCCATACTTTAGGGAAATTAAAAGCAGTTCTACATAAATATATATATATTCTGCTCCTAAAGGAGTTCTCAGGGTATGACTATATATATATATATATATACACCCATATATATATACACACACACACACATATGTATATATATAATGCTCATAAACTATTTTTGTTATTACTGCAATGAACAACCTCCCAAGATGTGTAGATGGCCTGAATCTGAGGTGTGGAGATTCGCATGCAACAAAAACGTGATAAATAAGAAAAGCTCTTGATAATCAAAAGAATGAAGTCAAATTAGGGCAGATACAAGACAGCAGAATATTTAAGGATGAAACTGACTGCTTAAATATGAGGAATTTGACTCCCATGAGGCTTGGGACTTTCTAGGTGTCTGGTAACACTTCTCAGGGCTTAGCATAATGCTGCAATTGCAGACCCATTGCTAAAGAGATGCTTGTTAACAAGTCAAGGTAAACATGGGACAGCAATATTGAGTATAAACTAAAAAGAAGTTGAAACACTCATGAGTTACAGAGGAAGTCCTTCACAATACTCAGCTATTGATATTTCATTTGTCATTATATGTTTGTCAGTATTGCAGTTACTATTTTTAGTTCTTTATACTTAGAACAATAAAAAAGTTACTATTATTTATATTTTGCCTGGCTCTGGACTTTAGGTTTGGAGGACAAAAATTTTCAGGAGCCTAGAGAATGGCAATTAAAATGTAGAAATGTTTAGAAAGGAAGGCATTTGGTGGCATAAAGATATTTTAATTATCTTAAATTGTTTAATAATACCATTTGTATAAAATATAAAATTATTTTCTTATATTTATTAATATAAAATATCAATTTCAATTGTTATATAATAATTTATTATCTTGTGTTAAGATAGGTCTTGATGCTGATGAGTCTTAATTTCAGTGAAGACAAAAAAAGAAGAAATGGAACTGCTCTATCAATAATATTAGGGGTGTCTAAAATTAATGCAGATTATTTAAAATAGAATATTAACATATAAATAAAAATATAAATCTTATAAAAGAAATTAGCAAACTCTCAAAGACTACAGAAGAACTTTACTTACCTCATGCCACCAAATTGCAGTAATTCCCTAAGTCCCTTCTGAGAGCTGCTTTGATAAGTAACTTCTGGTAATTAATAATAGGGAAACAACAAAAGCTAAAATATACATAAGTCTGTATATTTCAAGGTGGTGATGTTAAAGTTTTATTTTCAATTTGAATTTGAAAAGAACAATCTATGACCTGCTGACCTTTAGCCACTGAATAAAGTACTATCCCTAGTACTTAGGGTAATATTGTTAAGCTGTTTCATTAACCTATACTCTGACTCAGTTTTCCAATAACTGGAAAGCTTTGTCATAAAAATTCTAATAGCAAAGAAGTACTGAGCGGTTACCATGAGCCAGAAACTGGTAAGTGCTTTTCATGTACACAACACTGGTTCCTTAATCATGAACTCCTTTTTTTTCACTTTTAAAGGTTATTTTTATACAAGATTTGTTAGGGAAATACATCCAGTTTTAAATCTTGCAAAAGTATGGATGAAAGAACAATTGGGATTCATTTAAATACTCAGAAGTACTTTGATATTACAAACTTGTTTTACTTTTTCATTGGTACTTGGGTAAGAAGAGTGCAAAGCCCAATAATAAGACAAATTTTCCACAAACCCATTCTATCATGAAAAGAAAACTGAAAGACCTTTTTACCTAAGACATTGATGCAACAAACTGTTTTACTTCCATTTTCAGTAGAGACCTAGAGACCCTTTTCCTTCGAAATGGTTATTGAAATGTTATAGGTGGCCAATGTTACTGAAGGTAGGAGCTCCAACTTTGTTAAATATTCTCTGTAGAAATTTCAGAGCTTTCATGGAGATTAGAATTTTTTTAAAACCCATGTGCTTTATTGATTGCATTAGTAAAATAAAATTAAGAATTCTGCATTTGAGTGGGAAACCCTATAAAGAGAAGTCACTGAAAATGGCGTAGTCCCTGACTTTCATCTTGCCTTAGACTGTTCTAACTCTACTAAATTACTTTCAAAGGTGGTTTTTCATGTTTTAATCCTCCTCAGTGAAATGCTACAAATAATCCCATGTTCACAGAGAGATGTGTGTCAAACAACTCACCTGTCTTGTTGATATCAAGACCTGCTAATTTCAAGGCTAATTCATTGCTGTTGCCACTTGCAGAGGAAACCAGGATATCATGTATTGCATTTCTTCTACCTGTTCTTCCTGAAGCAATGAAATCTGCATATGTAGTTTCCACATCAGTCATTGCTAACAAATATCCACATAGCAGGGACTACAAAACAAAGAAAAACTAATAGGTAAATATAATGTTGGTCAATGGTAACATTTAACAAAGACACTTGTTAAATTACTGGCCTAAAATATGAATGTGAAATAATTGTCTTGCTGACGTGTTTGCAAAGCAAGTAATGCTTTAATCGTTGATCAAAGGTCAGCGAATTTTTTCTGTAAAGGCCTGGTAGTAAATAAATTAGGCTTTGAGGGCTATATGGTCTCTATTCCAATTACTCAATTTTGTGGTTGTAGTACAAAAGTAGTCCAAGTAAAATATGTTAAATAAATGTAATAAGCTGTATTTGGAAAAATAGTAATAGGACCAGATTTGACCTGAATACTATTGTGGAAACCTGGTTAGGTCATAAAATTCTCCTTTTCTAATATCATTTTAGTCAGTCTTCAACCGCAGAGATAAGAACTTGAGAGCAGTAGCATACCAAGGTTGGGGATGGAATGGAAGTGGTCCATCCTAGAGATAAGCAGAATGCAAGTACATTGTCTGCAGAGTCTAAGAACAATAATGAAATTGGACCAAAATTCAGTTTGCTTTTTATTATCACCATGTACCAGCAATTCTTTTCTTAATTTAATTTAATTTATTTATTTGAGAGAGAGAGGGAATGCACGAGCATGAGTTGGAGGCAGAGGCAGAGGGAGAGGGAGGAGCAGACACCCCGCTGGCAGGGACCCTGATGCAGGGGCTGATCCCAGGACCCTGAGATCATGACCTGAGCCAAAGGCAGATACTTAACTGAATGAGCCACCCAGGTGCCCCCCAGCAATTCTAAGCAATGTCAGTGACCAAATAACTGCTCTCAGTCCAGGAGGATGGTTCCCTGTGGCCCCTTTGTTAAGTCATTGCTTGAGAAGAATAACAATTCTTCTTGACTGAATCTTTGAAATAAAATGTTCAGGTTTAAAAAGGAGTCAATTAGGAGTGCCTGGGTGGCTCAGTTGGTTAAGTCAGACTCTTGATTTCAGCTTAAGTCATGATCTCAGGGTTGTGAGATCAAGCCCTGTGTTGGGCTCCATGCTAGGCATGGAGCTTGCTTTAGGGTGTCTCTCTTCTCTCCCTCTGCCCACCCCCAAAAAGGAGCCAATGAAAGTGAGTTTTCTAAAAAAAATATTTTCAAGGTAAAATATGATATATGTATTAACAAAAGACCACCAAATACAAATCTTTGGTTTTTTCTATGTTTAAATTTATGTCCTTCCTGGGACACCTGGGTGGTTCAGTTGTTAATGTCTGCCTTCGGCTCAGGTCATGATCCCAGTGTTCTGGGATTGAGCCCTGCATCGGGCTCCCTGCTCAGCAGGAAGCCTGCTTCTCCCTCTCCCACTCCCCCTGCTGTGTTCCTTCTCTCACTTTGTCTCTCCCTGTCAAATAAATAAATAAAATCTTAAAAAAAAAAAATAAATTTATGTTCTTCCCTAAAAGTCAAAAGAAGGATGGTAAGATAAGAAACAATAAATTTCTGTTGCATTAATTTGTTTAAACAGAACTTTAAAATAATTTCCCTCCTAATCCTAAATATTCCAATGACATTTTATTATAGTTTAAGATTAAAAACATATCAATAATCAAGAGAAAGGAATCTTTTCAAAGTATAATAAATACAGGGGAAGCAAAAATGGTGGAACCTATACATCATCATGGGCATGCACACTTGCACTCTGAAATAACTTGATGCCATCTACACTGCAATTTAGGACGGCAGTCAGTTGCACATCCTTTCAGGCTGAGTTCCCCCAGTGCATATTGATGAGGGAGCTATTAATTCAATCTGGAGAAAACTTTTATATTTTCTCTTCTTTAAGAGGAAGCTGAAACAGGAATGAGGGAGGAATAGCATAATACACTTTTGAAATAGGAAATATATGTATGTACATGCTTACTGTGACTATATTATGGGTAACATTGGTTTCCATTCACTCAACTATATCTACCATTATTTTTAAGGGAATATGATTTAATGGCTATTATTTTATTTAAAATTTCAAAATGCTCTTCAGAAGATCCTGGGTTTAGTCATGGAGTGACTTTTGGAAAATCACTTGACCTCCTGTTCTTCCATTTTCTAATATGTAAGGGGAGAGCTGAAAGGCATGATGATTAATGGCACTTCAAGTGAAGATGTAAAAACAATGATCATTTAAAATGATCTCATTTCTAAAATTCTGAATTTGGAGATTCCTTTCATGGCCATAACCACCTATTCTTTTTTTCCCCTCTTCCTCTTAATGAATCTGTTCTTTGCACTGGTTATATTTTTAATTCCTTTCACCCTTTCTTAGCTTCCTCCAGGTTGAGTCTGGATCAATCGCCAACCAATTTCATGTAACTTCTTTTTGGCATCAAGAAGGCCCTTTGACCTACTGTCACCTTGATCTTCCTAAGCCTCACCTAGGAAAACAGCATGGTGCACTTTCTCTGATCTCATTAACTGGGTAGCTTAGTGTTACCAGAAAAAGTCACAAAATTGTGCCAATTGGCTCAACTAGAAATTTTTTACTCTATTATTAGTATACACTCTGAGTTGTTCAGAAATTCTTTTGTTCACCTCTAGTTGACTCTTCCTTATACTTTTCTCTGTGGGAAGGATTCCAAATGCTTTACAGGCCACACAACCAGATACCACCTGCCTTAAGAGATGACTTCGTATCTTCCTTCTCTGAGAAGATATAGGACATCTGCTTCAAATTCTCTTAAAATTTCTTCCTCTCTCAAACATATTTCTCTGTAAAACACTATTCTTTCTTTCCTAGATGAACTAGTTTCTTTCTTTCTAAGGCATGCTATTGATTCTATTTCCTGTCGCCTCCTATAGGACCTTGCTCCATTCATTATTTGTTTTCCTCAATAATTTGAGTCTTCTTTCTCCTCTGCATTTCTCCCATAAGTCTGTAAGCATGTTCAAGTCCTCTTACTAAAAAAAAAACAAAAAAAACAAAACCAGAAAACAACAAAAAACCCAATCATTTAACCAAATATTCTTTCCTCAACCTTCATACATCTTTACACAACCATCTCTTTCCTTTTTTAAATTTCTCAGAAAGGGTCAGCTACTTTTATTTTCTCACTTTCCTTGAACAAATCTTTAAAATGTCTGTATTCCATTGGCTTTTATGTAGTATGTTTTATGGAGATTATGTTCTTATGGATCACTAAAATGATTTGTATTAACATTAAGTTACTGCTTAATTATTACATTTCTTGTGAATGCCCATCCTGGTTTGATCTCTCTACAATACATGACATTGACAATTACATTCTCCTTGAAACTCTCCCCCAGCACATACTGCAAGCTACAGAGGCAAGATTATTACAGGTAATATTATAGATATTGTAGCTATCTGTATTTAAACCTAGACTTTCCATTAAGTTGTTATGCTATATCTAATATTTCTGTACTCATTGTTTCATCTATAAATTGTCATAAATATACTTAGTTCTCAAGGCAGCTATGAGAATTTATTTGGATTACATATGCAAAGAGCCTAATACAATGTTAAGCACATGGTAGGTGCTGATAAAAAAACAAAAAAAAACAAAACAAAACACCACAGCTATCACCTTACCATCCTGGTTCCATCCTATTTGACTTTTGTATTCTTCACAGATTTCTCTTCCTAGGGAACATTTTGTAGGAATTTAAGGTCAGTCCTTGACCTTTTTTTCTTCTTTCCTGTCTAACTTGAAAAACTCATCTAATCCATGGCTTCTAATTCCTCACAATGGATAATGCAAAAGTATGCATCTCCTGTTTAGACTGTTTTAACAGGCGCCTCACACACAAGGGCAACTGCTTGCTACATAGATATTTTCACCTGGTTTTGCATAAGCATTTCAAATTCAATAAAACAAAATAAGATGACAACAAAACATAGAATAAACTGGCCTTACTAATACACTATGTTGAAGCATACTTTTGCTTATTTCTCTCACTTGATAGCCATGTCTAATCACTTGCCAGGTCATGTTGATTTTTATTTGATGTCACTCATATTTGCTCCCTGTAAAACACAGGATAAGCTCTTCCCAGGATTATTGCTGAGCTTTTCCACGATCTGGAAAGAACCCACTTTTGTTGCTTTAACTTCAATCCCTAACTCTCATACTTGGTACGTTGCAGAATAATGCAAAATATTTTTCCAGAGCTTCTCTGCTGCTCTATTGCTGAAGTCTGTGATTCTCCCTGGAATGCCTTCCTCTAACAAACTTGCTTGTTGAATTGCTTGTTGAAATGGATTTAGCCCTCAGAATTCAGCCAAATAAATGCCATCTTCTCTTTGTCTTCTTTTCCCTGTCTTTTCAGCTGGCACTCCCACCTGGGCCTTGATTTGTGCATTATAGGGCACTTAAATTCTAACCAGCATTTTAGTACCTCTCCTTCTAGACCGAACATAAGCTCTGACAAGACAGGAACTACATTTTAATGTTTTAGTTACATACAATTTCTAGTAGAGTCCTTTGCATACCATCAGTGCTAAATAAAAGTATGTTGAATAAAACTAAACAATGAAGAAAAAATATATTACATCCTTCATCAGTAGCCACAGAAAACTTCCCTCTTCCCTGTTTATACTAAATCACCAAATCCTAAAAATCCAGAAATTTTTACAGGCAAGGAATCTGAGGACTAGACAATTCTATGATCTGCCCATCTTCACACATTTAATTAAGTGTCTGGAATGAAGGTCTACAAAGTCTCACTTCATTTTTCTACTTTACCAGCTTGGCTGTCTGTGAGTAAGTTGTAAGTTTGAATAAAGGTTTTGACCTTGGAGTAATTCAGTGTTATTAGTTATAAAGATATTTTCATTATCTATTCTACCACCATTAACCAACACAGTATCTAATTTCTATGTTACTTTGACAATTTAGAATTGGACATGCATATCAACCTAATAAATATTATCTCATAAAAGTTAAGGAAAGGTGGAGTTACAGGAATAAGTTTGTCTAACAATCACTGTTACTGTCTCTCACTCTCA